ATGAGCTCTCAAGTAGTAGATGGCCTGTCTAAATGCAGAGTCAATTTATCAAATCATTTTCTTAAAACTCTAGAGAAATTTAAAATAAGATACTCAGGATTGTATTACCATTTGTCCTACAAGAATGATTATCTGAACAGAGTTATACAAAATGAACATGACTACACAAAACTAAATCCTCTAGCAAACCTGGAACAAAAATCCAAAACACCTTCTGAGTATGAGTATAGATGGCACTCTTCATTGATAGCCAATTCTAACAACTTCAACCAAGATAATTGCACAGTGGGACAGCCTACTTCAAAATGTCAAGAGCAAATATTATATGCAGATAAAACTCAAGAGTTGTTAGAATTGCTTACAAACTCTAAAGATGAGATTATAACGGCAAGGTCCCTCAGCTTAAAGAAATGAGACCAACAACAAGTGGAAGATACATTGATGTTCAACAAGGCACTTCTGACTAGCTTATCCTGAGGACGGGGGTAATATCAGCAAGTAAACTACCATCACTCCTGGGTTTTCAGGGAAACAAAGAGTTTGATTCATCATGGTTTTATATTCTAAACGAGATAGATTTAAGTAAATGTAAACCAAAGCAATACAGAAACTTTCAAAGAGGAAACTACGAAAAAGAAGCTTTAGAGCACTTTCAGAATCTCTCTGGTAAGTCAGTTTATTCGAAAATATTAATAGTAACACAGTACTCTGAAATTTAGCAAATAAGTATATTACCAGCATATCATGCAGTTAATCATGTACGTAACATAATCAAATAGGAATACACTTACGTGAACATAAATGTAAGTTTGAGTAATCATGTATTGATTTCTATTTTTTCCTACAGGTGTCCCAGTCTCAAGTTGTGGGTTTTTCAGACATCCATCAGACACAAACTATGGAGCAAGTCCTGATGGTATTTCAGGAGCATTTCTCGTTGAGGTCAAGACAAGAGCAGAAAACTCTGAAGCCCCATTAGGCAAAATCACAGGCTCACATATTATTCAAGCAAATTTTCAGATGTCTTGTGCAGGAGCAAATCTTGGATTTTTGCAATCTTATCCCCCTGAAAAGAAAAGTTCAAATATATTTTTCATACCCAGAAATGACCTGTTTATAGATGTTTTGAAAGAAATAACTGATCATATTTTACATCACAAAATTGTAAGTAAGTGGGGTTAAGAAGAGAATACCCATCTCTCTGAACTTGGAAAGAACTTATTAAATACTGTTCCTAGCTTTGACACATTACGTCAATTCCGTAAGTGGGTAAACCAAATGACAAAGCATATAAAGAAGGTAGTCTTTGTGAAAACATAGTCATGTAATATCAACAGAGTTTTTTGGAACTAGTTGTAGTTGTTTTATTTTGGTCCAACTGGTTTTTTTAACATATTAACAATATGTGCAAATATTTGGAAACTTCAACCAAGTAAATCAATCCTTGAGCTTGGCCAAGTTTTGCTTAGAATTTGCCAATCTCTGATTCTTCCCATGTAGTTTTCAATGTAGATCCTCAATGTTGCAATGTTAACGTTCTTTACGACCTCAGTCTCATCAAATTGATGAGAAAATTTCATTGGAGGTCTATTGTGTAACAGGCCTTTCTCATGACAAATATCTGTGATATTAAAGCCCTTGTCAGTCATAACTGTCTTCCCTTTTGTGATTGTATCTAGCACACACGATTGCTCTGTTATGTCAGCATCACTAATGCTGCCAGGAAATGCATAGGTACATTTGAGTTAAAAAACCAGGAGAAGGGTTCACAAACATATCTTCCCTGTAGTGTGGTTCTTGTAGTTCGAGAATGTAATATTATTAATATCAAAGTTCTCTGATTGGGAGATCCAAATTTCAGTTGCATCCCCTGTGAGAGCAGTATCACCATATCCTGACTCCATAAAACTTTTTGGCATATAGTCATTTAAAAATCCAGGTAATGGGGTTAGTTCAATAGACTCAAAAATGGTGCTCAGGAATACACACCATCCTACAAAAATTTTACTCATAGTTGATATACTTGAACCAGTCATCCATGGTCCAATGCATGTCTACAAATTGTCAAGAAACTGATAAGTTCTGTCTTTGTGTCTAGCTTTCTAAGATGGGACAAGTCGTCATTGTTACAATCAGGATAAACAATTGTGTGCAAGAAAGGCTCCAAACATTCATATAGACAATCTAATTCGGAAAGTGATAATCCTGTCATATAATAAATTCTATCTGGGTATCTCATGAGTGCTTGATAACTAAAAGTTTGGCCTTCGAGTGCTTTCTTCATTGCATTGAGTTGCTGACTGTTGTTTGCAGCATTTTTTTCGAGTTCTGTTTGAGTCTTTGACAGCTGTTGCTGTAAATCTTTAACACAGCCTTTTTTTCATTTAGTTTTCTTGTCAAACTTTCCACTTGACTTTTAAGCTTCTGATTTTCTTTTTCTACGTTCGCAGCTGAAACCCGTCACTTTTTAACATGCAGTACGGGAGTTTCACTCCTGTCTTTCGGGGGTTTCCTTGGAGAACTCCTCACGGTATGGGTATTCGACGAAGTAAGAACCGTTTTTGTACAGTCAATATCTCTTTTCAATTCCCTAGATGGTTTTTGGGAGTACTCTTTTTCCAGATTAGCAGCATATTCTTTTGTACAAATTATGTCTGGCAATTGATTCTAGTTCTCTCGTTTTCCCGAGCTCCAGTGGGCGCTGCATATAACATGTTTTCTCCAGTTAATATTTTCGTTCATAAGAACTTTCCTATATCCTTTTTGAAGCTCAGGATCGCTGGGCAAAGTGCAGTACGTTATTCCTTTAGTTCTGTAATTATTCGTACACAAAGAACTGGCACAATTCCAATGCCAAGTTTTCGTGTAAGTCGCCATCTCTACGCCATTAAACTGAAGTGCACTTCCGTCCGGCAAAACTAATAACTAGTGCCAGGCTCCCACGGTATGAAATCAGGCAATGGTTAAGCGCATGCTCATTAATTAAATTACTTTATTCCAATTTATTATTAACTCTGTCAGTTAATTATCCCACTCACATGTATCTCAGCGATCTCAGAGTGTATTTCAAAGTAGAATTGTATTTCAGAGTAACCTCAAGTAGGATGGAGGGGTAGCAAAATCGCACAAAAAATTAGTGAATTATGCCAAAACTACCAACGTTGCATTTATTGTTGACGCGAAGGTTTTATTCCATGGTTGATAATTTACAGCTATTTGCAAATATTTAAGTTGATCAAGTGCAAGTGACTGCACTAGCCTGCATGGTGTGCAGACTAGTCCTCGGCTGATCACAGTCGAACTTAATACATCTTGGTGTTCAGCTCTTCCTCCTGGCCACCCACCTCGTTACTATGATGCTCTTGCCTTTAAGTTGAAGCTCTTCTACTACAGCTGTTGTAATCAAACTAATTTGGGCTCTTAAATCTAACAAGGCATTTCCTCTCTTCTGCCAATTGCCTGATGCTTGGCTGTCTTACGATTTGTGAAGGCAACAGTTGCAACGGTGGCTTTTAGTGTTTCATGTTAAAGTGAGTGATGATAGCACTTTTATTGATTTTTCATCTGAAGTTTCAGAACAGTCTTCTCCTTAAACTTTTTGCGGACCTGTGTTCCCTTCCTGCTCTTTTCAGGCAGCTAAAATAGGTGTTGTTTTCTTTAGCAACCTTGATTCTATCTTGGGCATATTAAGTGCCATGAACTCCTGACACTGATCAATCTTGTGGATTGGATTCTTACACATCCAGCATTTGGGGGATGATAAGCCTGTCCACAAGTTGTCGTCCTTAAACTCACGGAAGGCCTCAGGCCTTGAGTTTCTCAGGGCTGCCTTTGCCCTCACCCTAGATTTCATTTCAGTGTTCATCCACGCTATCAATTCTGCTAAACTAGCCTCTTTCTCAAATGTTGCGCCCATACTGTTCGGTCATCGAGGCACATCCTCTGGTCAATCAATGCTAATATTTGATTGTTGTCTTTGTCCAGGCACGGGTCAAACTACAGCTGTATAGTAAGATGTAGGCTTTCCCTTCCATCTTTGCTTTAATGCGGTACTTTAGGGGCCTGCATAATCTACCCTAATGACCTGGAACAGGGTTTTTCCCTCGGTTTGCTCTCTCGGGAGGCTGCCTGGTGGAGGGCTTGAGTAGGTCTGGGATTGAAACCTGGAAGGCTCTGTAGTCGAGGCGGAGGGTTCAGAAAATTGTGAGCAGGTAACATCCCCACCACACAAAAGGTTTGATTTCATACATACGTACATACATACATTTATTTGATAAGTAGGTTTGAAATGTGGACCTACTACTACTAATTCTAGATAAGAGAACAATGATTTACAATGCAGTTATTAAAGATAAAAAGACGAATCAAATAATTTTAAAATATCTAAATTTAGGGTTCTTATTATAATTTACTGAGCATTCCTTTTGAAAACCGATGTCCCTAACATAGGTCTTGATCGATTTTAACTTTCTTTTAAAAGAGTGAGGGTTTTCAAGCTGTTTGATAGTGTCAGGTAAAGAGTTCCAGGCAATTGCAGCTCTGTGTTTAAATGAACGATGACCCTGTTTGGTTCTTGGCCTAGGTACAACATTTAACGATTTCCTAAGAATATAAGAATAAGCATTCTTAACAACTAAACTAGTCATAACACCTAACTCTAAATTATAAAAAGTTCTATGCGTTACATTTAGAATACGAGAGCAATAAAAATATTTTAATGGCCAACTTGCATTTATGAGTACTGTTTCGTCTGCCATTTCTCTTGGTAGTTTGTGGATAAGTCTTGCTGCTCTGCGGTGGATAAGTTCTAGATCTTTCATCAAATAATCTGAGCAAGAGCCCCACACAGCCATAACATTTTAGTTCATTTCTAGAGTGGCCTTTGGTAAAAGCTTATGCGTCTTAAGATTTTAACTTTAGAGCTGTATGAGGTAGAGTCCGATTTTACATTGTTGGCCGAGGAGAGTCTTTCATCAATGGCTATACAAAGACATACAGAGAAAGATCTGCATTCAATTGTTTTGTCTCCCCAAACTAAAGGCTTCAGAGGGTCAATAAAGGGTTTTGTATCCAGGAGTACTGCATCGCATTTCCCTTCATGAATAATTAATCTATTCTTTTGGTACCAGGTTAGTAGCTGATCTAATATCACCTGGAGGGCCATAGCAACTTCATCAGTAGTATTACCAATGGTATAAATGGTAGTGTCGTCAGCATACATGTAAACTTCGCCACTTCTAATGCTGTCTGGAAGATCATTTACATAAGTCATAAAAAGCCTAGGTCCCAACAGGGAACCCTGAGGGACCCCAATTTTAACAGGTTTAGATTCCGAAGATGCGCCATCTATTTGTGTCAATTGGCTTCTATTTGCTAAATAGTCCATCAACCATATCCACATATCGTCTGACACTCCCAATGCCTTAAGTTTCTCACCAAGAATGACATTATCTACACAATCAAAGGCTTTCCTAAAGTCAATGAACAATACGCCTACTTTAAGCTCATCGTCCAAGGCATCTTTCCACACTTCAGTAAGGTGCAACAAAAGGCTTTCTGTAGAATGACCCTTCCTAAATCCCCAATTGTCTGTTAGACAAGAGACTCTGAGTGGTCAGATGATTATCAAAAGATCTACAAACAGTTCTTTCCAAAATTTTGCTATGAACACTTAGGAGTGATATAGGTCTATAGTTATTTACACCTAGCCTGTTGCCCTTTTTGAAAACTGCAGTTACCTGGGTTTTCTTCCAACTGATAGGGAATTGACAGTCTGCTCTGCTTTTCATACAAATTTCAAAGAGCCCTTGTACAACAGAGGACTCACATAACTTAAGGTCTCTTGGGTAAATGTGATCCAAACCCATTGCTCATTGAGGGATTTCTGTACAATCTCCTGCACTATGTTCCACTCCACTAAAAAACTAGACATAGCAGGGCAGACTTTATAAATAAAGTTGGTGGTGTCAGTGGGGAGTGGGCTTAAATTCCTGTTAGATCTAAGGCTATATTTAAAAAGAAGTCATTAAAATAATCAACCTTCTGTTTGCTTCTAGTAATGATGTTTCCATTTTTATCTTGAATCGGCCCACATTTCGGATTGTGATGAAGAAATATGTATACTTCATTGCTCGATAAGTCTTTGGGAAGAATTGAGGGGTTGCAGAGTTGCTACAGCGCGATTTTTGAAGGGGTGGGGGGTCTTTTGATTCGGTAAAATTAAGAACGCTCAGACAAGACACAATATTGACACAACCATATGGTTTTTATTATTTGCTCGAATTGTTCGAAATTTGCACAACCTAGGCCTTTTTACAACCTGAACAGTTTCGTGGAGTTTGCTTGTTTGATTGATGTTGCCACGGCAACAGTGGGCCTGTCAGAAACCAGACTAATGCCATTTAACTGTTTCACAGCTTCCTTCCAGACTTAGTAAGGGAAAAAGCGCATACTGATTGTTTGACAGGGGCAAGACAAACTTTTAATGAGGTCTGGCTGAATTAAAGTAGTTCATTGAATATGATTTCCGGTGTACATACAGCAATCAACTGTTTCATTTGACACTCTTTTCATATTGGTAAAAATAAAAAATCTGCATTCAATCGCTAAACGTCTTTGTTTGAACAAGAATTATATCACTTATGAGGACACACTTAAAAGCTTCCAAATAGCTGATTAAGGTAAAATACCATTAAGTGATCAAGGATGATGTATTGAAAAACATTATTTGGTACTTGGAAAAGTAGTAGAAAACGTAGTTCACCAAGTAGTGAGCTCTCTGACCGAAACTACGACTGATTTGCACTCACTTACAGCTAGATCACAACTTCGGACAGTCCTCAGAAATAGTCCAGTTATTTGTATTTACATGAGTTTTAGTGCCTTAAAGTTTCACGCTTCCTTGTCAATACTATCATCA